AAGACTTGAAATATTTGATTGTAAATGTTTTAACAGCTGCTAGAATTGTATTTGCAAAAAATTGGAAAAATGAGAAAACACCAACACAGGAGGAAGCTAATCACAGACTCTGTAATAGGCTAGAGTCAATTGTAGCTAAAACAGAGCCTAGAAGGGGGGGGGATAAATCAGGATAAAATGTGAATTAAAATATAAAAGTGAGACGTGGCAGAAGGAAGATATAAACACCTGCTTTTAAGATATGTACAAAAACAGGAAATGTCAAAAGCCCAAAACTACAGAGTTCAGCTAAAGTTCTTACAAAGCCACATAGCCAGTACCTGTGGCCCAAGATAGAAGGAGAAGTAAGACACTATCTACTTATAAGGCTTTCTCTTCAGGGTAACCAATAAGAAATAAGTTAAGTGTTACGCTGCCTTTGAGAATGTATAAGAATGTGTGCTTCTATGATAAGGGTTGTTCAGAAGTTGCAATACCAGCCTTTGGCTAGCTTTTCTGAACCTGGCTGCCAATAAATTTCTCCTTGATCCCGAGACGTCTAAGTCTTGTTATTTTCTGCAACAATACTATTCCAGACAAGTGGCAATCCAGCCTCTTCTTTAAAGTCTCCAGTAATGAAGCACCCACAATGTCTGAAGGGAAAGCTGTTCCACTGACTAATTATCCTCACTGTTAGAATGTTTCTCCTTGGTTCTAGATTGCTTCCATCCATTGCTTCTTTCTTGCCTTCAGGTGTTTTGGTGCTTTGGAAAATAAACTCAGCCCCTCATCTTTGTAGGCCCTCAAATATTGGGACAATATTATCATATCACTCCAGTCCTTCTTTTCACTAGACTATCCATATCCATTTCCTACAACCACTTTTCATAAGTTTTAGTTTCCAGCCCTCTAATCATTCTTGTGGCTCTTCTCTATAGTTTTTCCAGTGTCTCTACATCTTTTTTTTATATTCTGGTGACCAAAATTGGACTCAGTATTCCAAGTGTGGTCTTACTAAGGCTTTGAAAAGGTCTACTAATATTTCATGTGATTTTGGTTCTATCCCTTTACATAGTTTATGATTGGGTCAGCTTTTTTTCCCTGGGGTGTTGGCTATTCTTGCCAGTTGGGAGTCATCTGCAAGTCCGATCAGTTTTCCTTCTATTCCATCACGACGATATTAAAAGTACCCGGCCTAAAGTAGACCTTTTGGGGGAGGGTATCCTGCTATGTACTTCCCTCCATGTAGATGTAGTTCCATTAATGATTACACATTGAATATGGTTACAAATCCATCTGGTGGTGATGCTGTCTATCCCACATTCTTCTAGTTTCCTAAGAAGTAGGTTGTGGTCTACTTTGTCAAATGCCTTACTGAATTTTGCTGATTCACTAATCCCTTGGTCAAACAATGAAATAAGATTTGTTTGCCATGATCGGTTCTTGATGAAGCCATGTTGGCTTCTGGTTATAACTTGCGAACATCTAGAAACAAATAAAGTTATAACTAGAAGTCAGCATAAATTTGTTAAAAACAGATCATGCCAAACCAATCATTCTTTGACAAAATGACTAAATTAGGGTATTACGTTGTGGACATAGTATATTTCACATCTGTTGATGCTGCACCAACCTCAGAACCACCAAGAGGGGTTCCTAAAGAAGGATGAAAGGGCAATGGATGGAGAGATGGTGCAGAAGTTCAGTTCCAAAGCTTCTGAGAAGAGCTGTGTTTAGCAATTTCGTGGAAGTTAACTTCAGTGGGAAGGAGTACCAGATTGGGGGGGGGCTTCTTCCAGGGGGTTAGGGAAGTCCCACCCTAGGCCTCTACCTCCTCCTTTCTTCTCCCCTGTAGCATCCTTCCACAAGCAGGGCATCCAGAGTCCCTTTCCATCCCTTAGGACAGCTCGAAGGTGGACAATTGGTCTTTTCTACCCCACCAGGCCTTTTACAGCATTCCCAACTTTGCAGAGGCCCCGTGAGCTGATTCTTTTGGATGTTGGCCCTCAGCTACATCTTAGCTGACTTTCCACTGGGCTCATCTCAACCCTCCAAGCCCCTCAGCTCCCACTCTCTATTCTTTGGCTGCTTCAGAGATTCTCAATCCTCCAGGTTGTCCCAAAGCTGCTTTTTCCGAAACTTTTGGCCTTTTGGAAAAAGCACCTTTGGGATTTTGCTCCTTCCATCTCCTGATAATAAAAGCGACAAGAGGCAGAAAGCAAGATTGGAAGCAGAATTTGAGTCTTGGAGGCTTCTGCCCACCTCCAGTCTGGTGGTTGAGGTTTGACAGCTGCTCCAGGTCAGCCCTGAAGACCCTGCGGGAGGGGGGGGGGCACAAGGATTGTTTCCATAGCTTCCACCACCTCTGTCCAGGGCACCAGAGCTTCCACCTTGCTGGTGTGCTTGTCATATTGAGCGATGGGCTGATCATGCAGGGGACCATGGAGAAGCCCTTGGCTGGATTCTGACACCTTCAGGTAGGAATAGCACTGGGAGTCCCTGGAGGAGCCTGGAAGGGGAAGGGGGGAGGACACAATTAGGAGGGTCTGCAGCTCCAGCTCCTCCCTCGATGCTATCATGAGAAGCAGCTCTCAAAGAGAAGATCAACTGTCTCCTTTATTTCAGAGGATTCCAGTCAGGAGATTAACCCTGAAAGAAGTTCTCAAGCGACTCTTGGCTGATCTCAGAAACAGCTGGGCACATCTGGGGAGAGGAACCTCTGGGTTCACACAGCTGCTTGTAGAGCTGACCCCTAAACCCCCCAATGCTTGGAGTTTTACAACTGAGTAGAGAGTATGGAAACCAGGCTCCAGGTCAGAGTCTTTATGATCAGGATACAACTGATTGGAGGCTCAGCCTTTGCCCAGCTGGGGGATGGAGAGGAGGAAGAGTCAACAAGAACAGTAAATATTTTCTTTTGATTTTCACTTCTTTCTCAAGAAACACCCAGAAAGAACAGATTAAACTTTCTCTTTTAACTTGCTCAAAAAGTCACTTGGAATTGGTGACAAAGTAAACACCAAATGTTATATTGTCCCACAGGTGACCCTGCAACTGTCATAAATATGAGTCAGTTGCCAAGTGTCTGAATTTTGATCACATGACCATGGGGATGCTGCAAGGGTTGTAACTAGGAAATTGGTCACAAGCCACTTTTGAAAGTGCCATTGTAACTGGGGACAGTCACTAAACAAACTATGGTCTTTGGCCAGGTCGGACTTACCTGTTGCTTCAGCTTCTATGCGTGGTGGAACCTCCTGGAAGCTTTCACAGGGCGTGGCTGGAGTTCCTGGAACCGGTTCGCTCGGAATTTGCAGCGGTTCTGCACCTTTGCCAGATAAGCCCTCCGGCACATTCGGGGTTGAGATTTCCACTGCTGGAGTGAGGTTTTGCTCCATGCTGTCAGGGCTGTGACTAACTCATGCAGGAGTTACCTCTGGTTGTCTAAGTCTGGATTTGGAGAGGCAGCTACGGAATTGGTCGATGTTCCTTCTCAAAATGTGACTGTCCTCAAGCTCTGCCTGGTATGAGCGAGGTCCAGTAATACCTGTGACCGTGGCAGGAACCCAGAGTGATCCCTCGGCGTAGTTTTGGGTGTAGACTCAATCTCCTTCGCTAAAATACCTTATTTTGCTACTTAAATCGGGGGAGGGGCCATAAAGCATCTCACTGAGGATGCAGAGGTGTATTTAGTTTAAGAGCATAACGTACATAAAGCACTTACATCATAATCACGTTGCAATGAGGGTCAATCGGACAAGCAGTCCAAAGGGGCGGCTTGAGACCAATTGGCCCCCCTCTCCCTTTGTCCAACTTTGTCTTATATCCCTTGAAACCACAAAGCTCAGGGCTCTATTGACATAGCAACTCAGTCAGTTGCCTCTCTTATTAACCAGAGTCATCCTGAGTTATCCTTTAGATACTTACTGTTAATGCCTACTTCCCTATTTCCCACAGCCTCAGCTCCCCTTGTTTAAGGAACTGTGATGTAGAGGAAGAGGAACCATACACCAAAATCCCCAGATCAACTATCGTTTCTATCAGACGCACATGGTGATTACAAATGTCCCTTTATACATGCATCAGGTAATGAATGCAAATATTGAACCCATCTCACCACCACCCCAAAAAAAACTCTACTGTGCTTAGAAGGGCATGCAAAGAGGACAACAGCAACAAATATTGTGGGTCCCCATTAATTTTCCCCACACAGAGCCTCCCTGCAGACGTGACCCGTCANAACGGAGAGGTGGGCCAGGGTGTTGCCTCATTTTACTGACCTCAGAAGGATGGAAGGCTGAGTCAACCTTGAGCCGGTGAGATTTGGTCTTACGAACTGCAGTCTGCTGCTTGAGCAAGGGATTGGGCTAGAAGACCTCCAAGGTCTCTTCCAACTCTGTTATTCTGCCCCTTTCCTACTCGTTGGGGATTACGAAGGCAGCCCCCTGTCCCACCTCTCCTTTACACCCCTCTCTTAAGCCGTTTACACAGTCAGCCTCTTGCCTCCAACAATCTGGGTCCCCAATGAGTAGGGAAGGGGCAGAAGAACAGAACAAGAGAGTTGGAAGGGACCTTGGAGGTCTTTCCTTGCTCAAGCAGCAGGCCCTCTGCCATTTCAGATCCGGAGGTCTTCTAGTCCAATCTCTTCTTAAAAGCTTCCCACAACTTCTGAAGGAAAACCAGTTCCGCTGATCAATTGTTCTCACTCTTAGGAAATTTCTCCGTAGTTCTAGGTTGCTTCTCTCCATCCGTTGCAAGTTAAGAGATGCCTTCAGGACACAAACTCTGAATCCTTCCCTCCCTTACAGGAAGGACGAATCAAAAGAGCCCATCGTGGAGGTGCGGACGGAAGAGGAACGGACTCCGAATCACGACGGAGGCAAACACACAGAACCGAACGAGACCACCCCGCTCACTGAGCCAGAGTAGGTTGGGAAGGGGGCCGCGTTCCCTGGAGGAGGAGAACACCAGGGTAGCCCGTTGTTCTCCCGGCCTCTGCGGGCCTCTTGCCAGGCCCTGGGTGCCAAAAGCGAGTGCGGTTGAGAAAGGCACGGAGGGAGCTCTGCGGACGCAGGCCCAGCATCTGGACCTCTGGTGACCCCCCAAGGGAGAAATGGAGAAGTGGCTTATGGGCCTCGAGAGACAGCCGTGCATTTCCTTCTCTGTGTGGGCCGTTGTGGCTGGAGTCCATTCTATCCGTTGCCTCAATTGGCCCTTGGAGACCTTGAGCGGGGCAAGAGAGGAGGAATGTCACCCAGGACGAGCAACACCAACAGAGAGTTTTTTTTCCTATCACCCTGTTTAATTACGAGCTCAGGATCCCACCCTGTTTGTAGAGACCCCTCCTCTGGGTGCCCTTGGGAGAACGCCACGGTCCTTGTGCCGTCGAGGTACAAGTGAGATAAATGATTGATGTGCACCAATTGCACCGTTGGCACAGGGGCGCCTTGACACATGGGAGGTCGCCGTGCCGCGCACCCAACACCGGTGGCCCTGTCCTGGCTGGATGTCTGTCCTTGGCCTCGACCCTCCTGCCTCTGTTTCTCTCCTTCCTGTCCCTTATTTGTGCCTAAATAACCGCATGCCAGTCCGGCTGTTGCATTGACTCCTCCAACTGCTTGCGATGTTGACGTCTGTCACCGCCTCTCTTTCTTCCTCTCTCTTCCCTCCCTCCCTCCCTCTCTCTCTCTCTTTCTCCCCTCTTCCTTCCCACCCTCCTCACAGGCACCCTGCCGACACCGTGGCAGCCACAGAGGACATGATGCCATCCGTGACCACAGTCACCACAAACTCTGACACCATCACCGAGACCTTTGCCACTGCCCAGAATAGCCCCACCAGTGAGACCACCACGCTAACCTCCAGCATCACACTGCCAGACACCCCCGTGCCCAATGCCACCGCTGGGGCCCCCAACCAGGGCACGCCTTCCAAAACGGCCGCTGCCCCTTCGCCCCCACCGGCCTCCGCCCCCAAAGTGGCCCCCCTGGTCGACCTCAGCGACACCCCCACGTCCCCTCAGGCCGCCGGCAATTTATCCTCCAATGTCCTCAACCACCAGGGGGCGGTGTTGAGCCCCAGCTCCACCGCCAAGGGGCCCGAGGCTCCCAAGGGCCCCGCTGTTGCCTCCCCGCCCTCAAATCCAGCCAGCCTTCCGGCCTCATCCGAGCCCAGGCAGGAGGCAGCCTCCAGTGCCAGGAGCCCGGAGAAGGAAGCCGCGCGGAGCAGCGCAGCCAAGAGCCCGACGGAGGCACCGAAGACCGTGGGGGCCCCGAAAGGCGAGGCGGCCCCAGCGGGGACCAGAAACCCTCCTCAGAATGAGGACTTTAAAATGGACGAGGGGACCTTCCAGACACCTAATCTTGACCTTGCCAAGGATGTTTTTGCCGCACTGGGCACAGCGGCCTCCGCTGCCGAAGCCCCAGCCGCAGCTCCTGCAGCCACCCTGGAGACCTCGGCATCGCCAGCGCCTGCCAAGACAGAGTAGGCCTCCCGCTTGTGCCCCATCGTGACGCGCCCCTTCTCTTTCCTGCGCTGGGGGGGATGGTCACCGGCCCACTGCTTTGCCCCCTTTTTCTCTGTGTTAACCTGGCTTTTTCTCTAAGCGAGCTAACCTCCACCGTGGCTCCTTCACCATGACAAATGAAGTGTGTGTCTGTGGGGTGGGGGGAGTCATCCCCGCCCTCTAGGCCAGGGGTCTCCAACCTTGGCAACTTTAAGCCTGGCGATGTCAGTGTTCCAAATAGCATCCAAAAGTAAATCAGAGTCCGAGGCAAAGTATTGCTCAACGTTCCAATTTAATGAAGAGAGACATGTTGGCACATCTGGGGAAACCCGAATCTGAAAACTTCCCGGTTTTCCCACCTAGTTGAAGGTTCTAGATCTTGCCCTCACAAGCCCATCCCATGGTCCAATCTCCCACTGCCGTGCCGGCTGTTCCACCCATCCAGTTCCGGTCAGGTGCAGAGACAAAGGATGACCTTGGCTTTCTAGAAAGAATGTTGTTATGGCTACATAGCATCTAGCTCGTGACCCGTCAAAAGCGCGGATGACAAAAGCGCGATCGACAAAATCGCGCCTTTGACGTCATCACAGCGCGACGAAAAAGATCGAAAAATTCAAATAAAAATTAATAAAAATTAAATTACAGCAAGCCGATTCACATAAAGGTAAGGGTTAGGTTTAGGTTTAGGGTTAGGGTTAGGTTAAGGGTTAGGGTTAGCTTTAGAGCGTTAGCGTTACGTTTAGCGTTAGGTTAAGGGTTAGCGTTAGGTTTTTTGTTACGTTAACGGTTAGGGTTAGGTTTAGGGTTAGGTTTAGGGTTAGGTTTGGGGGGGTTAGGGTAAGGCTTTATTTTTACATTTTTACATTTTTCGAACTTTTTCGTCGCGCTGTGATGACGTCACAGCGCGCTTTTGTCGAGCGCGATTTTGTCCTACGCGCTTTTGTGGTGGAACCCATCTAGCTCTGTACAATCCTCCCTCCCACTTTCCCACCATAGAAAATGCATAGGAGAATAATAGAAAGTGCGGCAGGCCAAAGATGGCTGCAGGCCTGACAGGTGGACTTCAATTCCCAGAATTCCCCAGCCAGCTTTGCTAGCTGGGGAATTCTGGGAGTTGAAGTCCGCCAAGGCTTGAAGTTGCCAAGGTTGGAGACCCCCGCTCTAGACCGACTGGCGATATTGACTTCTCCCCATCTCGCTCAGAGGCTTCCCACCTGAAAGGGAAGCCAAGATGCCACTTGGGGGGGTGGGGGGTTGTTAGTGCCTAACTGAGGAAGGTGGTTGGGTCACTCAAGGACACCTGGAGGATCAGGTTGGTTTTGATTGGCCAAATCCTTGAATGGTTAAAAGAGTTCCGTTCTGGGCACAAAGTCACACCAGGTGGTGAGTAGACATCCTCGTGCCCACCTCGCCCTCCTGGGTTCAGAGAAGCATCAGGGGTCCGAAAGGGGGAGCGGGAGTTTTGGCTAGACCAGCAAACATTTAGAAGGGAGGTTGGGGAAGGGGGAAAAACAGAGGAGAGGAGAAAGGAAAGAAGAAAGAGGAGAAAGAAAGGAGAGGAAAGGAAAAGTGGGAGGAGAGCAGAAGAGACAGGCATGCTAAGAAGGGCCAAAAAATGGAGAATCCTGGAGAAAATCTGGAGTTTGGAAAAAGAGGATTCTGCACAGATCCCACAGGACCGACTAGCCTCCCCAAATGTGCTTCTGGTGATGGAGCTTTTGTAGAAAAAGATATCTCGGTGATGAGATAATTATGGTAATTATCCCCATCCCGCGTTTGTGCTGTTGGACAAAAATCCACTTCCCAAACCCGTGGTCGTCCTCCCCACAAATAGGAAACCAAAAGGGAATTTATGTTTTGCAAAGCCCGGCATTCTGCGACGGTTCCAGGTGGCATCTCCTGAGCTTTCTAAAACTTGTCCTCCTCCCGTCCTGAACCCAAGTTAGGAGAAGCAGGAGAGACAATGGGCCTGGGCTCAGGTGACCAAGGGCCTTCTGTTGGCATCATGGCTGGATGGCCTGGACTCAGAGCTTTTTACAATCAAGCTTGGCCAATGTTGTTTCTCACCAATTTCTTCTTATTTTCCCTGTTGGGATCCCCCTCCCCAAGTCCATTAAGTGCTTGCATTGTGGGATGCACTTAAACCAGCCAAAAAAGCCACAGGAAGGAAGGAAGGAAGGAAGGAAGGAAGGAAGGAAGGAAGGAGAATCTCCCACCAAGCCAATTCTTAAAACAGTTTTTCTGGTGACCTCCAGATTATTCTTCCAAAAAGGGCCACTATTGATGACCGAAGCATCATCCATCATATCGAGTTCCTTCCTTAGCCTTCAAATTTGGGGTCCCTGCCCCTGGTTGTCGTCCCCCCACCCTTTTTTCTTGAAACGAGTGTCGCCAACTTCTCTCTTAACCCGCCGTGTTTCTCTGGTTTCCCACCCAGGAAAAACGCCGTAGAAGAAAAGCCGGCCGTCCCCGCCACGGACGCCAACAACGCAGCCCCTGCAGAAGTGAAGACGGTCCCCAACGAAGCCACACAAACAAATGAAACTGAGAGCAAAGCATGATGGGCATTGGGGGCCAAAAGCAGAGCAGACGGAAATTTAAACAAAACGAAAAAAAAATTTGACAGAACAGCTTCACCTGAGCATTTAAAACACAAAAAATACACATCTCATTCCTCTAGTGTCTTTGCCTTTTTTAAATGAAAACAGACAAAAAAAATGCATACAATGGGGAAAATGTGTTTGGTTATTACGGGGGGATTGTTTTTATTAGGGCTCAGTTTTTTATTTTCCTGGGTTTTGTTTGTTTGTTTATCGTTTGGGTAGGTTTGTAGAAAGGATCTTACTTCATGTGCACTTGCTTTTAAGAGGAAAGGAAATCCCCCCTCCCTTTCCCCCCACCCCCTTCTCCTACCACATCTTTGAGGATGGACCTCCGGGGTCTCTCGTAGAACAGCAGACAGTCCGTGCAAAACACCCGTCTCAATGAACCCAAACTAGCGACTGCAAATTTAGGGAGAATCAGAAACAGAATGAGCAATCTTTTATTTTTATATATTCCAGCTAAGTTGAAAAAAAAAACCTGTACAGTCTTGTCAGTAAATTGCCGTTTCCTCCCCTCTTCCCCCCCCCCCCCCGGGTCGATTTCAGATTCCTTCTGTTCCAAAAGGTGTGTTTGTCGTGTGTCCCCCCTCCCCTTAACTGACTCCTGTTCTCGTGTCTTGAACCCTTGGGGGGCCCACAGCCACTGTCCATCTCTGGGGCGGAACTCTTGGCAATGAGCCCCTCGGTTCATTTCCGTGGGTTTCCTGGAAGATGTTTGCAGCTGCCTGAGCCCTTCGAACCTTTAATGTCAATTTCCTATCCTTGCGTCGGGGAAGAATGCGCTGGGCAGCTTTTGGGAGGATGAGTTTCAAACCGCAGTATTCTCCGTTTGTTTCTTCTGTTTTCGTGGGGTTTTTGTGGGGGGGAGGAAAGGGTTTTGTTTCCCCCCCGTTCATTTGTTTTGCCAACATTTTTTTCTTCCAGTGTTTACAGTCAAACGAAATGTTTTTTTAAAAAAAAAACTGTTGTGTTTAAAAGTCTATGTAAAATAGCTGCCTTTTTAGAGAGAGAGAGAGAGAAAGAGTGAGAGAGAGGAGAGAGAGAGAGAGATTGTCAGAGAAACTAAAATGCTATATAGATAATAGGTGGTCCAGCATGTTTGCTTTGCAGAGGGAGAACATTTTAAAATATGGATGTTTACAGTAGATGTTTTCCCTTTTATCTTTCTTTTAATTATTATTATTATTATTATTGTTATTTTTAATTCTTACTAAAGTAAGAAAATCAAGTAGCCCCCCCCCACTTTTCCTTGGTCCTTCTTTGGATAGAGATGAGCTAATGAAGGGCCAGCTGGTTGTCTCGGTCCAAGATAGTTCCTTGAGAAACTCTTAAGCACCCCGTTGAAGGAAGTAAGTTTGGGTAGACAGAAGGAGACACACACACACACACACCCCGAGAAGATGATTTTACGAAGTTCTTGAGTTGAAGGGAGAAGATCCCCATGTGGTGCTAAGCCTGCCCCCCCCCCCGTCCTAGAATCCACAAAGGTTAAGTTGGCCTGGGGGGGGGATGTTCAGATGGGTCCTTCTCAACACCTTTCACAGTTTTTCCTGTAACCCTCAAGAGAGCATCTGGGATAGGTTGGCCCCAGAGGAGTGGTGAGGACATTCCTCAGACTCCCCCCCCCCCTCACCTGCTCTCTGCTGAAAAATAGAGAGATTGGGAACATTGGTGGGTCACTCACGTCCAGTTTACGGTCCGTGCGGAGTTGGCCCCTCCTGCTCTTGAAAACGGTTCCTTCCTAACTTAATATATTTGGTGAATTATATATTGTGTTGAATTTCAGGAGCCAGTTAACCGTGGCCCGGTTTCGGAAGAATAACCGTACTGTAAATGCAAATGCCATGAATGCTGTTGGCCAAGTTGAAGCTTGAGGGTAATTTTATGGCCCTGGGAAGCGTCATTTCCCTGGAGGTTCCTTGGAGTGAAGTCCAAATGTATGTATATAAATATGCCCTAAGGCTGAGATGTAAGAACTGTAAATCTGTCTTAAAAGAATGTATAGACTGAGGTGGCGCGTCTTGGGCTGGGCAGGGCTGGCAAAGACACAGCCCGCCTCCCCAAAGGGCATCTTGAGTTTTGGCGGCTGATCTGGTGGGCGTCCATCCTGGGTGGGGGAGTGAGAAGTCGTGCAGCAAGAGGTTCAGGCTTGGGAGCCCCCCAGCATAGTTGATTCCCATTCAGTCCAGAAAGACCTTTCCGGAGAACAAAGTTTGACTTTCCCAAATCCATGTAGTTAGAGCCGAGATCTTCCTTAAATGGCCATTAGTGCACCGGACTTTGGCACGGCAAGGGGTCTTTTGGCCCTTTGACCGTCTTGGGGAAAGGAGCAGTTCGGCTTAGGTTGAAATCCCTGGTCTCTGGTGGTAGAGGACGTGGTTCCTTTGAGCTCGAGTATTTTTGCTTCCCTATCCAGGACTCTTTCGTAATACTCTGGGGAAGCCAAAAGGGAATCTGCACTCAGGCTCAAAGATATATATATAAATAAAGGGAGACTAGTATAGATCTATTTCAAGCTATTTAGCTCTCATCAGCTAGCCACACCTCCCGTGCCCCATTTTGGTTCTAGTAGGCCTCCCTGCACTTACTTGGCAGCCAAAC